TTTCAAAACTTATTTTCGAAGGTGCTAATTAGATTTCTCCGGTCATATAAGATGTTAAGTTGGCAGAATTTTTTTTTTTTTTTTTTTTTTTTTATCGATGTTGTTTTATTTTTAAACGAATAATTCTATTCTGATTTAATTTTTTGTTTGGTGATGTGGATCATCACCAAACAAAAAATTTAATCAGAGGAAATCAGGCAATAGCCGAACAGGAAAAAAAAAAGCTTTCTACTCCTATTATCTTCCCTTTTTATTTTTTCCGTTGTCTTCATATATATATATATATATATATATATTGAAAGGCAATAAAATATACTGAAAAAGTACTGAAAGGCAATAAAATATTTGAAGTTGCACAAGTGATTGCAGGTCCATCGTTGTCGTGTGGATCGATTACACAACTAAAATATAACCTTCGCTACATGGAGGCTTTCTTCTCCATACTTCTTTTATCTGTCGTGTCCCTTCAAAAAGATGGCGATCATGGCTCTTTGGATTTGTTACTCGCTGTTTCTTTCTCTTGCCTTCAATCTGTACTTTGAGTGTTAAATTCTCCAAACCCTCTTTCTTTATTGCATCCCAAAAACTTCTCATATCTCTTTATTTATGTAATTACCTTGTGTATAGTATGACCCCGGATTTCTGAAGCTAAAAACAGGGAATAAATTACATCCTTCAGTATAATGCGACCCCGAAGTAGAGACATCTCGATGTAATTCTTTTTTTTTTTTTTTTTTTTTTTTTGTAAAGTTGTCATATTATCCATTAAAATTTCCATGCCGTACATATATTTCACTAAAATATTCAATTTTTCACATTAAAGAATAGAAAAGGGTGTTTAGCCATTTTGCGTTTCTTCTAATTTTCATTTCAAAACTTATTTTTTGAAATTTCAAAGGTGCTAATTAGACATGTCCGGTTACGATGTTAATTAATTGGGCAGAATTTTCTGATTGATATGACTTTGTTACATTTCTATATATTGATAAACTATAAAAATAAAAAAAATATTTTCTTTTTATTAAGAATGAAGCGAAAACTTTATAAAAAAAACAATGAAGTCAAGATATAAACGAACTTTATCTTGTGAGTAAAACTGATATTATTTGCAATCTTGCTGTTTCAAATACGACGTTTTTTTTTTTTGTTTTTGTTTTTTAAGCCGAGTAAAAATTTCTGAAAACGTGTACTTGTCTATAAAACGCCTCACCCCGTTTTTATTAAATCCTAATACAAATCTAGACTGCAATGTTATTGGTCCTGACCTGGCTCATTTTCCCACCGCCATAACGTAGCTTCCTTGTTTTTTTTTTCTTATCAGTATTTTCATGGTAATTGTTGAGACGAACTTTCCTTTGTTACCGAAACGTTATGAATTTAAGCGCAGTACTAGATTGGCTGGGAGGTCTCATCTTTTTAGAGTTGAACTTTCTAGAGGTAACCGTAAGTTTTATGCTAACAGTTTCTTTTCTCGTACTTCTCGTTTGTGGAAGTTTCTTCCGGCTTCTTGCTTTCCAGTCAGTTTTGATCTTCAAAAATTTAAATGCAATGTCATTCGTTTTCTTCTGTTTTATTGTTCTTTCTCGTTAATGTTTTTTCTTATATTCTCTCGCGCTCAGTAACCTCTTGCGTCTTAGTAACTTCATTGCCTTACTTGGGAAATTATTTTTTTTTAAATCTCGTGTCATGATTTAACGCTTGTTCGAATTGTTTCGTCGAGTAATGAAATTATTTGTATTTTAAACTGCTATATTCTTTGATATATATATCAAAAACATACGTATAAACTATAATTTGAGAAATTGAAAATGTCACTGACATATATTGAAAAATTTCCAAGTTTTCTTTTGAAATCAAGTAATTATGAATTGGAAGTAAAATGGTCACAAGATATGAAAAAAAGAAGGCGTTAGTTTAACCCACATTTTCCTGGCGTCAGTTGAAGCAAACACCTCCCCGTTTCATGTATCTATATGATTCTATTATAATTATGCTTGTCCCTCCGTTTGTTAGTACGCATTACCCTTACACCCTGCCAATACCTCATATGTAATGGACTGTTCCGTTTTGATGCCGTGGAAAGAGGGCAAAAAGCACTACTTAGTTTCAGTGAGAAAATGAATGAAAGAAAAGGAAGATAAGTGTTTAGAAGCTGTTTCGGTTAAAGGAAAAAAGTTGTCAATTTTAAATATTGTCATTTGTACCCACTTCTTAAAATATCAACCAGCACTCATGCTTATGATTCTTATTGTAATATTTTGTTAAAGTTGATAGGCTCAAATATTTAACGATGCGATTGGGGAGTTTCTAAAGATATTTTATTGTCGCTGAACTCGCCATGAGCTAACTCAATAATTAACTTAAGAATTAAGATTCATCAGAATATTAAAATAGGAAAACCGTGAAATTTTCATAGATTAAAACTAGTCGTATTATAATTGTGGTTGTCCATCCCTTCGCTAGTTCGCACGACCGTTACACCCTGCCAATACCTCATAAATAATTGACTATTCTGTTTTGATTGCGTGGAAAGAGGAGAAAAGACAACTTGGTTTCAGTGAGAAAAAGAAGGAAGTGGAGAGCGAATCAGATTAAGCGGGTAAGAACAGATACTACACTTTGATCTAAACCAAAATGCCGAGAAGCGATTGTATTTTCTTGCGCCACACGCTGGTAGGATGTAACGCAAGCTCAGTTTTATATCTCTGAAATGCTTACACCAGGGCCAAGTCCAAAAATAGCCCAGCTCCCAGTTGGCTGGTATCGGTATCGTAAATGCCTTTATAAGGTGAATATCCTTAAGGAACTTCTCAAAAACGTAAATGGAAAAAATCCACGAGAGTTGATATGCTGGTAAAACAACCAACCCAAACACACAACCTTGAGTTAATGCTTAACCCTTTGAGCCCTGCGTTCCTGAACAATTTGAACCCTTCTGCCTGGGCTCCTGAGTCAAAATTCGCAATTAATTGTTATGTAATGTTTCACGTTAGAAATAAAAATAGTTACAAATGTTTACTCACCGTTCAACCGATGGCTGGGCATTAAGTCATTTCTCTCTTCCACCGGTAAAGCGGTGGTCAGGGCTCAAAGTGTTAAAGAAACTAATGGTGACCGCGATAAAGTGCCATTTTTCAGACGCGCAGTACCGAACGACAGTAATTGAGTAAGGTAATCGCCAAAAATCTAGTCACCCTTCTGCTGAATTATTTTTAAATTATCATTAAGAGAAAGAAGGGGATTTGGCTAGTAATTATAAAATTGGTAAAGTTTAAATTTCATTGAAATATGTTGGGAAAATTCCAATTTTTCATTTTAAATCAAGCAAATAGGAATTTTAAACAAAACAGCCACAATATATAAAAAGGGATGACATTTTTTTTAAGCTGACATCAGGAAAATATAGGTTTATGAAAACAACAAAAAAAAAGAAAACATTATGATATTAAAAACGAATGAAGCGCTTTTTACACATAAAAAATGAATTCAGTGATAAATGTGAATTTTATCATTTTTATTTAATACCAGCAATAATACCCGTCGTTGCCCGAGCCAATTTGTTTTACGGTGCTCCGAGTCTCCAAGCCGTAGTTTCTTTGAGATTTGCGATAATTTATATCTGAATTTCTATCATTATTTACATTTTTGACTAATCTCATCATCTTTGTTGGTATCACAACGTTTCAACTGTTGTGCCCTCCGGCCTTCTTCAGGTTCTTGTCGATCGGGATTACCTTCAGGGAATTTCCATCTGAGCTCTTTATTTAATTTTCAGGGGTAGATAGATCCCGTTACGATGACCATGTCTTGGGATATCTTGTTTAGTTTTTATTTATAATTTACTCTATTTTTTAAATTATGTTCACGCTGTACAAGACCCAAGAGCCACTCGAGGTTGAGGGTTACAAAGTAAAAGGCAGAGTTTATGGGGATATGTGGTGAAGATAACTGTTAACCCTAGACATGAACAGGTTAAGATTGTAGTGATCAATGAAGCATCCTGGGGGTCGCTTCTGCAAAGCATCAGTTCTTAAGAATCTGCTCGAGTGGAACTTACATCTCACCAATGGAATAAGAAGGGAATGAAGGTGGTTCGCTACAGTGTGTATGGAATAACAGGTCTTAGCCATGAAGGTTAGAACTGGTGGAATTTAGGAATGTAGTTCGTTTCCATGGAAATAGCGATAGAGCAATGAGAGGCTTGCTTGAAAGACGTTGCAGGGTGGCAAATAATTCCTCAATCACAAGGACGCGGAAATGCTTTTGGATTCTCTAGAGACCGGAAAGTGAAAACTGGGCAGCACCTGCCCATATATGGCAACTGTACTCCAATTTTTGGTCCGATCTGGCTCTTGTAAACGTAGAGGATAGCAGAAAGAGTCGGGTACTTACTGGAGCAGTACAGAAAAACTAACCCGTAATGGATCATATATACGAGTTCCACGAGGTCTGGGATGAGTCCCCATAGGCTCTCAAGCCAAGGGTCTTCCCTGGGGAAAATACCCACTCATCGTTATATGTCCCTAGTTTGGTTAAGAGTCATTATTCACTTCCTGACAATTGTTCTTATCTTTGTTGTTTTTATCACAACGTTTCAGTTGTTGTACCATTCGACCTTCTTCAGGTGCTAGTCGATCCGGGTTACGTTTAAGGAATTCCCATTTAAGCCCTTTATTTAATCTACAGGGTTGTGTAGTTCTTATTTATTAGTTGCTCTATGTCATTCATTTACTAATGACTGTAGATTAAATAAAGAAACTTTCTTGAATGTAACACGGATCGACAAGCATCTGACGAACGCCAACGAGTCGAATCGTTGTGATAATTCCAGCAAAGGCGAGGCCTATAATCCGAATATAAATAATGAAATTTGCGAATTTCGTAAAATGTTATTCCCGAGATTAAAGAGCTCCAATAGATTTAACCATTCCAATATTTGTTCGCGTACTCTATGCCATGTTGCAATGGCATATTGGTAAACGTGATAGCAAAGTGATCGAATGGTCGCGGGTTCGAGGCCCGATGAAGGATTAGATGTAACAGACGGTGAAACTGGAAACGACGTCGCACAGCTGAGCAAAGAAAAGCGACTTGATACGCGCAGCGCTGGATGTCTTTACCTCGTCACAGGGATACATTTGGCCAGCCGAATGTATCAAAGATATTGTTTTCCCAGAGACACTCCCAAAACCCGACCAATCTCTTTCAACTTCCATAACTGTACTTTTCTTGAACTCAGCAGTCTTCATTATCTCTGTTTCACGCCACCACAGCATCGATTACTCTCTCTCACTCTCTCTCACCCTATCTCTCACACACGCAGGCTGTTCTCTCTCCCTACCATCGTTTGTTGCGATCTCTCTGTCAGTCTCTTTCTCTATCTATTTCTTTCTCTTTCTCTCTGTTTGTTCCTGTCTGTCTCTCACTCCTAGACTGTTGCTATCTATCTCTCGCAGTCTGTTCCCGTCCGTCTCTCTCGCAGTCTGTTCCCGTCCGTCTCTCTCGCAGTCTGTTCCCGTCCGTCTCTCTCACGCAGTCTGTTCCCGTCCGTCTCTCTCGCAGTCTGTTCCCGTCCGTCTCTCTCGCAGTCTGTTCCGTCCGTTTCTCTCTGTTCCCATCCGTCTCTCTCGCAGTTCCCGTCCGTCTCTCTGTCTGTCCGTCCGTCTCTCTCGCAGTCTGTTCCCCCGTCCGTCTCTCTCTCTCTCAGTCTGTTCCCTGTCCGTCTCTCTCGCAGTCTGTTCCCGTCCGTCTCTCTCGCAGTCTGTTCCCGTCCGTCTCTCTCGCAGTCTGTTCCCGTCCGTCTCTCTCGCAGTCTGTTCCCGTCCGTCTCTCTCGCAGTCTGTTCCCGTCCGTCTCTCTCGCAGTCTGTTCCCGTCCGTCTCTCTCACTCTCTCTACCTCCTTCCCAGTCTGTCTCATAATCTGTCTTTTCTCTTTGTCTCTTTTTCTTCCTTCTTGCGCTTCTTCCACTCTTTTTCCATTTTGCTTCTTCATTTCGTTCTTATCCATTTTCCTTCATTTTCTCTTTCTTTTAATTCCCCCCCCCATTTTTCATTAACTAATCAACTTCCTTCTGGTCTCCTTACTTTTTCGTATTCTCTTTGGTTCACCTCCTTTTCTGTTTTATTCTTCAGACTATTCTGCTTTCTTTTATCTCTCTCTCTCTCTCTCTCTCCCATTCCTTTCATTCTTTATCTCTTTTCTTTTCCTTACCTCTCAACATGTTGTTCTCTCTCTTTTTTTACTATGGATTTGAATATCTCCTCTCTATCACTCTCCCATCGTTCCATATTTGCCTAAATACTATTACTTCCTCCTTGTCCCTCATTCTCATAACTTCTTTTTTTTCCCTCTTTCTGTCCCCTCTCTACCCATTTCTTAATGTTTTCTTCCTTCATTTTATCTCCCTCTTTCAATTCTCCTCTTTTCTCGCTTTCATGATAACGTGACGTCGCTTTCCCTCCACACCAACAAGTCTAACCACCTGCTCCTCAACTATTGGCCAATAGGGACACACCCACTTTGGTTCAAAGTAATGGCGTCCTGTCGGCCTTTTGAAAAACGTTGTCACCGACTAAGTGATGTTTGTTGATCAAGTAACTCAACGCCAATGGGTGGGTCCGCCCTTTTATCCCTTCATTTAATCTTTGAGCAGATTCTTACCCAACTATTTAATCATCGTCTGACACGGATTTTCCGTTCAGTGGGTGAACCGGTAATATTCTGCGTCTTCCCAATGTCTTTTTTTATGTCATGTCCCTTTAGAACGTGTGCAATCATGACCCTCCACAACTTCTTATCCTTTGTAGCAAATAAATGTTTTACCCTTTACCCTCACTCGGTCCTTGCCCTGCCATCTATTGAAACTCGTTTCCATGATTCACTTGCGTTAAGTATGCCGTTAAACAAAATCAACCAAACAACTAAGATGAAAGAACTCTTTCATAACATTAATCCATATAATGTACTTCCAAAATATAACTCCAAGAAAACTACAACATAAAAGACACATATCACTGCCTCTAGTAATTATGTCCACACAAATATGTATATTCACAAAAGCTGAGTATAATCTACCATGTACTCAACTGTGAAAGCAAAATAACATGTTTTTATTTCAAAGATCCCAAGAAAATTAAATTTCGACATGATCAATGACCCATAAGTTGTTGATATGCCGTTAAACAAACAAAAATACAAATAGTGGTAATTCTAAAAGAATATTTTTATTGACAAACATTAAGATAGCCATTCTAGTTTATTTTTTAGAAATTGCAATACGTTTACTTCAAGATATATAAATGTAACTAAAATATATCACGAGTAAAAAAAATACTCAAAACTGGTGCAGGTTGAGTTAGAAGGTTGCTACGTGTAGAGGAGACACCGTAATTTCATTAATCTGGGAGCCCCAAAAGGAGATAATTCAGCCCTGAACGTTCCCAATATGTAGCTCATATCTAAGGTTGCCTCTTTTACTGGCAACAAAGCATTCTGTGTTCTTACAATTAATAATTTGTTCTTTCTTCTTGATTTCCTTGACTACAGTTTCAAAGTTCTTTTTAAAGTTTTTCTCCGAGTCTACCATCAATGCAGTTACCACGTATCTTTTACGATTAAGATGACTGATTTTAAACACCCCCTTCCTTACAGTCATATCCAAACACGGAAAAGACTACGGAATTAAATCCAGACAGAAAATCATGAGTGGAATACTGAAATCGGTCGGTTGTCAATACTGACAACTTTCTGGCAACTCTTGCAATCAAACCGACCCTAAATGTAATGTCAAGTATTACATTGGATCTCGTCAGCACAGTTTAGAGTGGGCCATGTAGTCTGGGTAGCCAACGGCTTCTTTCTATGCCCTAGGGAGGTCACACCAGTCTTACCATCAAAGGGCTGAATCTTAATCAAATAGGGTGCTACTTTTAGAATTGCTGCCTTGAATAAACTTTATCCGGGGAGAAAACACATTGTCTTAGTCCTCTTTCACTTTAAGCCAGTATTCAGAAAAGAAATTTGGATAATGTTCCCATGTACAACAGCATCTGTGTCGGCGTTAGTTAAATATTTGTTAAACAATCATTAGGCTGCCCGGTTTTATAACCAAGGCCTATGTTCTCAGTACTGAAGAAAGCTTATTCGGATTTTCATTTAAAGACCTCAAAGGCTAAATATATTAAGCCATTCCAGCCCTTCCCTTTATAAATAAATGAAATGGCTTTTTAAGCCTGAATGTTAACAGCCTTTAAGGATTATATAGTTAGCACATCTTATTACTTTAAACGTTATACTTCGTGTATATACGTATTTGAGTAGACATCACTTTGTTTTAAACAGTGTACATTCGGGTCTACCGGTTTGTGGCTTCCGACAGTGTTCGATCCTGCATCCCTCTTAAAAGTAAAATCATTTTCTGGTCCGTAAGAATAATAAGTAACATTGTCGAGAATCCTGAAAGTTTTATAGAAATCAGAATCTTGATAATTGACATTTCTAGGATAGGTTATGAGCAAAGAGGGCTTGGAAAACATAACTCTCAGGACATGTTGAAGGTAAAAGGGACAAAGGAAAGCAGTGAAAAACCTACCTAACGAGCTTGTGTAAATGGTTGACAAAACAAGGATTAGGGGAGATAGCAAAAAGACAAAAATTGCTAAGAGCTACAAGGGAGAGGGAATTGTGGAGAACTATGATCACCAACGCCCTGAATGGACACGGCACATAAAAGAAGAAATTATTTAATAAGACGAGTGTTAAAATCCTCACAATATTTAGTATTGTTGAAGTCATCGCTAACATTTTTGTCGAGATTTACAATGTACGTTTTGTTCAATTTTGCAGAATGGTCTATGAAATTTGAAAATAGCTGATTCTTTAAGAAAATACTTTGACAAATACCCTACTTCACGGTTTAATAATTTCCTTAATTTTAATAAACATTTTTAAGAAAGTTTTTTTCTTTTTAACAGCGAAGAATAAATTCTTAGGATTTCTTACTCTTGAGCATGCAATATACAACTTTCTATGCGTAAATATTTCTTTCTGAAACCAAATTCCAACATTTTGAAGTGTTTGTTCTTGTGATTTTTTTTATATAGTTCTCGCAAATGCAAGGCGAACAGGAAACTGGATTCTTGTATATTAACACTTAAAATACATGCAAAAGAATATTGCATTTTTATTAAATAAGTATTTATTTTAATTATATGATTGTTAAAATAATATAATTTATATATTAAATGATAAAACTTAATTTTTCCAAAAATATTAAAGAAAACCTATTGTATCAAACTACGCATTCTAGTAAAATTAACTGTACGTTGTATCCCCTTACCTGTTTGCACTTCTCAAATTTGTTTTCGATCAGTCGATATATGGCTATTTTAAAGGGTGTGATAGATGGACTAACGGAAGTCACAGAATTTTATATGTAGATTAGTAATAAGGGATAATGTTGGATTATAAATGAAATTCATTAACTCTTTAAAAAGTGGCTTTGTTTACATTTCTGATATATATATATATATATATATATATATATATATATATAAACATCCTGTCTTTGGTGTTTCCTGCTTTATTTACTGTTCACTTTTTGTTATTCTGTCCTGATGTTTGAGTTCAATATGTCCGTTTTTATTGCACTAATTAAATTTTGTACGTCAAATAAAATATTCTATTCTGGGTTATTTGTCGACCTTCTTTTTCTTCTCCTCCTCCTCCCCATTTTTTATTATTATTATTTTTTCTCCTTTTTCTTCTTTCTCTTCTACTTCCTTTTTCTCTTCTACTTCCTTTTTCCTCTTCTTCTATATGATATATCCTTTAGGTCATAGGCAATCATTACTCTCCACAACTTCCTGGCTCTTATCAGTTTTTTCCCCTTTGCTAAGGCCTCCGACCCCGTCTCTTTGCCTTCAGTATGCCCCGTGAGAGTTAATTTTTCCCAACCCTCCTTCCTCACTATGTTTCTAAGGAATTTCCGAGGTCTCTTCCAGATTTTAAGTGTTCTTTCTATTGTCCGTTTCTTTAGCACTTGTCGCTTCCCCGCTCTGTCTATCGTATTCTCAGTATCCTTCTTTAGGACCATATTTCTGCCGCTTCTAGTTTTTTTTCTCGTCCTTAGGAAACGTTAGTTTATTCTGGTGAAAGGCTAAATGAAAAAGTGGAATCCAAATGTAACAACTCTACCTACCTTGAAAATTCACATTCAGACATCTTTGAAATTATTTGAGCTCGATGTTACGTCCATGAGCGGTAAAGTAAGTTTTGATACGATTATGGCCTTGTACCAGACTTAACTAAAATTAGTAAATATCTGTGGATGCTTGTCATAGAAAGATACTTGCGAAGCGAGTTTTATCCCCTTTTGATGCTAGATAATGAAGTAATAATCAGTAAATGGTATCTATACTGATGACGCAACTATTTGTTATAATCTTAATAGTAAGTCCGATCGGTTCGATAAGGTCAAATTGACAGCTGATCTCAAAAATGACTACGCTCTGTTGTTAACTGGGGCAAGAAATGGCTTGTTAATTTTAAAGCCTCCAGAGCCATTTTTACCTTCCATCAGAATGGCTGATGCTAACCTCCACGAGAGTAACTCATTGCGCCTTATCTGACTTGTGTTTTCAGCTATCGTTGGTTCACTACGTCGTGCTAGACAAATTTTCCCCCCAGAATCTATCTTACATATTTATAAGTCTACCATCTGGTCTGATGCTCCTGCTATATTTTTGTGACCAAGTAAATGGTTAATAACAAAGACATATCGTATATTAAACAATAAGTACACCAGAAGAGTATTACACGACTAGTAAGAGTATGTATCGTATGAACCAGTGTTCCATCCATTCACTGTTCACTCAACCTTCTCTCCTACTAAACTTATCGTAGGCGGAAGAGTCTAACATAGACTCTTGGAGAGAGAACACCACAACATATATATTTAGAGATTTTTTTTTTATAAAATCCAAAGAATAATCTGCAATGTTATTGGTCCTGTACTGGCATGTCGACTTTAGTCCCTTTCCCACCGCTGTAGCTTCTATATGCCTTTTCCATAAATATTTTCATGGTAACTGTTCTGATGAATTTTCCGCTATGGTAACAAGTCTATGAATTTAAACGAAGTACTAGATTGGCTGCTAGGTCTCGTTATTTTATAGTTGAAGTAGATGTAACCGCAAGTTCTCTGCTAATAGTTTCTTCTCACGCACTTCTCACTTGTGTATGAGTGAGATAGAAGTAGATATAGAGAGGAGGTGGGTGAGAAAATGCTTCCTTTTTTTATGGGGAGTTAAAAGGAGTCACCAGATAGAAAGACAGTAAACTTTTGGTTAAATAGTTATGCTTTAACAAAACTAAACCCAAATTTTCATATGCGATCAATCACCTAATTTATCCTGCTGGACAAAAAATAATGATTTTAAAAACCTCT